CTCTGGATGCTTAGAACTCAACTTCTTGATCTGTGATGAGTATTAAATACTTAAACGTCTTTATTATGAATTGGGGGCTGTTACTGCATTGCTGCCTGGGAAGGGCCACCAGTTAGCAGAGGTGATGGTCCAAGGAGGCATCCTTGGACAGTAAAATGATGAATATCTCAGTTTCATATGAGATGGCCAAACGGTGGCCCAGTTTTTTGGAAGTTGTTAGCTTTCTCTCTATGAAATGATGTTCCGAACACCTTTGCAGGCCGGGTCTGTAGCGACGGAGGGTCGCTCTTTCCAGAGATACGTGGTGTCAGGAAGCACAACTAACAGTGTAGTGGGATTTTTCCAAGTTGCCTGGATGCCCAGAACTCAACAAATAACTAAGATTTCTCTAAGGGGTTCATCAATACCTACAAGAACAAAAAAAAAGCAGTGTAAGCATCTGGAGCTCTGTGCTTGCAAATGCAGGTGCAGCTGCTGCTCCTCAGGCAATGGCAATCCCAGTTGCTGTTCTGGAGTGGGTTATGTCAGGTAAAGGAATTAGAGGAAATCTGCTCTGGGGTACGTTGCTAGAAATGTACTGGTTGCAGGGATATCTAGGGGCTCACGGGGTGCAGCCTTTCAAGGCAAACCAAGCACCTTTCAAGAATCACTCAGCTTTTTGTGGTTTAGAATCAGAGGGAAATCAATAAGAGGCACAAAGGGTTTGTGACAGACCAAACACAGAGTAAGCGAAAGCTGCAAACAGTGATCCTTAAAAATACTTCTGTTTCCATTTGTGACCACACATACCTCAGCCCACTGAAGGGAACAACAGATCCCACCACGAGTGTGGGAGATCTATGGAGCTGCCCTGGAGTGAGGTCGGGGCTGTCAAGGTGGGCTGCCCATCCTTCTGCATCTGAAGCCCAAACTCAGCCAACAGCCCAAACCAACTTGCCTTTTTCCAAAGGTGCTGCACAACCAGGAAGAAGTGAGGTGTTCAGATGCTGCATGCATCTGGATTTAGATGCCTTATTTTTATTTTTTTTGCAGGCTGGCTTCGGAGGAGGAATACCCAAAATGTGACTGGTGTTCCATTTGACCTAATGGGAAGTGTGTTTTGGAGAGTTCAAGCTCTGTGTGAGCTTACACAAAGCCTGTTAAGTGATGTCAGGTTGCATGGGAGGCCATTTACCCTCAGCAGGATGGCAAGTCCTGGGCTTTTTATTCACATTTGTTCCCATTCTTCACAACTGTGGGCCCAGGAGAGCCCCAATGCTGACATTTAATTAGCTTGGAGAACATTCCTGTTGCTGTAACACTGCCTTCAACTTCCCACCTAGGGAACGGAGGACAAGTGCAAATCCCCAGGTCCTCTGATGACTTTACCATCGAGCCCCACATTTGCTCCCACGGCCCTGAAGAAACCTCATTAGCACCAGGCCAGCTCTCCCACTGCACAGACATGGTCATGGAGGGTCCCCATGTGTGTAGCAATCTGGCGTGGCCTCGTGCCTTGATTTAGGGAGCCTGGTGGGAGCTGGGGCACAGCACACAGCTGGGCCTGCCGAGAGCCCCGTGCTGGACACCGAGCAGCTATTGCTTCTTAATAAACTTTTTTTGGCCATCGCTGACCTAGACCATATATGAACAAGTGCAAGGCAAGTGGTGAAAGGATTTGTATAAGGTTTCTAATCCCACATAGCGTGCTTGCTGAAAAGGCAAGGCAGGTCTCCCTGCTGTTGTGTCCTTCCACTGCAGCTGCATGCTTCACCCTCCTGCCTTTATTAAAATGAAATGATAGAGCTGTTTCTGAATGGGCGCAGCCTGTGGATGTCCAAGGGAGGGATGGGGGAAGCTGCAGAGATGCTGTGCACAGGGCTTGTTACCTGTCTCTTTGTGCTCCTGATTGCAGCGTGCCTGGGAGTAGGTTTTGCAGACTGGGTGGGGGAAGACAGTTGCCAGCTGCCCTCCCTTGGAGGCTCTTGAAGGGTTCACGACCTCGCAGTGTAAAGTCAGTGCTTGAGGAGCTATGGGGTCTGCTTGGGCAGCTCCTACCCCCCTGGATGAACTGTAGAATCATTGAATGTTTTGGGTTGGAAGGGACCTGTAAAGGTCCTCTAGTCCAACCTCCCAGCAGTGAGCAGGGACATCTTTCACTACATCGGGTTGCTCAGAGCCCCATCCAGCCTGGAGCATGGCTCTGGCTTACTCTGCAGATGCTTGAGCTCTCGGGAAGGTGAATGGGTAACTGGTGAGCAGTCAGGTCTAGCTGGTGTGTGCTCAGACCATACCTCAACAGCTTAATTTTTCAATCTCAAAGCACAAATGTATGGCCCGGAAGCTAGGGAGGTTGGTCTCCTATGGCTTTGCAACCCGCAGTTTGCCAGGGAAAACAAAAGTGAACCTCAAGGTTGCCATCAAATTTAGACAGAAGAGGTACCTACATATTTATATTTAAATGTTGTAGCAAAGATGTTTCAATCTGTAGGAAAGCGGTTGATGTTTTGTGTGTGGCAGTCACCTTCTGGCACGTTTTCTGTTTACAGCTGCAGTGTCAGAGATGATGGGGAATGCTCCTCCTGGTTCTGGGAACTTAATAAAGCTGCCTGAGGAGGCAGTTTAACAGGCTTGGGAAAACCAGCTCAGAGTCACAGTTTGGGGTTGTTTTCTTTGTGGTTTCAATTCCTGTTTCCAAGAGTTGTTGTGTTCAAAGCATGGATTTTAGGTTAAGGGGAATACATGTATCGAACCAAACAGCTCTTTAGTTTCCCATTCTAATAAGTGGAAAGAAAAGTATGAAAAAATTCAAATTGGTTTCCTCTGTGCCCAGTTCTTGCTGGTGGTTTTGGTCTGGCAAATGAACCCAGAGCTAAGAGTCATTTGTCCAGGCTCTGCCCTGCGAGGTGTGAGCCACCGAGTGCTGCCTTTGGGTAACTGGAGTTGTTCGCAGCATTCCCAGCGGAGCGTTAACCACCTCTTGTGCAACCCTGTCACTGCTTTTCCAGGAAATACAGTGCCCAGTAGTTGCTAAATAAGCATAAACTTTTCCTTGAAGTCTGTCGGTGTGTCGAAATCTAGGCGCCTCAAGGAAAAAACTACCAATTTTGTTAAAATGTGATTCTGGAAAGGAGAGGGACAGTTTGGCCAGCCCACGACTCTGGGTTTGCCTGGAGATTGGGTTCAGATGTTCAGCCTGAAGCAGCATCTTGTGGTCGATATCCCCAGAGGTTTAATTTCTTAAATGCTCTGGGATCTTTCTCAAGCTTTTTACTAACGGGCATCTGAAGATCCTGGCTTCATTCTTGCTCAGAATAGGAAAATACTTGGAAATGGAACAGCTATTTCTCCTTCAGCTCTGCCAGGGTATTATCGCAGTAAACAACTATATAGTATGTGCATACATTTTATTTTTTTTTAAAATTTTATTTTTCCTCTGTCTGAACTGGAGGAATCCCTTGAGCTGAGGCCAGGCTTTGCCTTGATTATATTGTATAAGATCACTGTGGGCAGGGGTCCTGCTGATTTCAGCAGGTAATCTGCCTTTGCCCAGCTGGCAGCAGACAGGAGCTCACTGTGTCTGGGGAACACGAGAGGTTTTTGGGTGCAAAGTCCCTCCCTTTGGACAAGTGCAGAAACTGTGTAGAATGAGGAGATGATGTCTCACAGGTTTTTGTCGCCTTTTATTGTAAAGCCTTCCCTAATCTAAGGCAGAACTTGTTGAAATCACTGCATTTGACTTTATATCTAGTGGTTGATTTACATTTATTTAACATAACATTAGACTAGGCTGTAGGCTGTTCTTTGTGTGAGATTCCTCAGTGTTTGGGTAAAGTCCAAATCCTAAAATGAGAAAGGGGCAGTAAACTGCACTAGAATAATGTTTTCTAATTCCAGTGTCATCAAGATGCCAGATCTCTCAATCAGCTTCTCTGATTCAGTGTTTTTCCCCAAACAAATCCATCTACCAAAAAAAATAACAAAAAAAATTGAGAAGTGGCTGGAGTTTTGTAATGACTTAGGGAAATTTAAAAGCAATCGTCAGTTTGGTTTTGTGTTGTTTGGGTTTTTTAAATATATTTTTATGACTTTTTTTTTTATTTGTCTTAGAAAGAAATATGAAATCTGCATGCAACATTCTAAATATTTCAAACATTTAAATAGCATATGATAATTTAGCAATACAGTACATTATACAGAAAGATAATATAGGGAGAATTCCTATAGTATATTTACAAATGAAAAGGTAGTTTTGTTATTTTAAAAAGAGGAATGCACTGCTTAACATTGAAGTATTACATTCAAAATAATGAATACATAGTATTGTGACTAAAACATATATAGGTATTTATATGCTTGCCCTATTGTATTTTTCATAAAAAGGTACCTTTTAAAGGCTTTTTTGTTGTTGCTGCTAGAAATCTAGGAAGTCATACATAATAGTCTTGAAGCTTAAAATTTCTCAGTACTGAAGCCACAAACTTTCTGTAAGAACTTCAGGTGGAAAGAAAAAAAATTGAAAGAAACCCCCATTTTCTTAGTAATAAAAATGACCTAGAAGCGCTATCTAACGCGTGAAACGTTATGTGGGAGATGTGATACGCTTCACCTTGCAGCGAGACCTCGAGTCCGTTTGAGAAGAGGTGCCAGCGACGGTCGCGCTCGTTTGCTGACGTGCCGAGGGACCTCGCTTGGGCAGTTACGGCCACGACGTTTCAGCGGCGTCTTCTCCAGCCAACTCGTCTTTGGCCCCTGCTTTGCCCGCCTAAAGTGGAGGCTGCAAACCTGACAAACACCCCCAGCACCTAAAGCGGGCCCCCTGCGAAAGGGCGAGAGGCGCGGCTGTGCAACGCCTTTGCAAACATCACTGCTTGTCTAGTGAGCTTATAAAGCTCGATTGCAATCATAGTGAAGTATGAACAAATAGCAATTAAAAAAACCCAAACACACAACAAACCCAACAACCCTCCCAAATCCCAAACCAACCTCTTTAAAATGAAAAGCACAAGTTTTTTCTAAATCTTGGTACAGAGCACACGGGTATGAGATCTGAAGTGCAATGGACGCTTGTGAAATCTGGAAGCCTTTTGCACGCAGCTATAAAATGTAAAAACTGACCCTTGGTAAAAAGTGCTTTGTAATAATAATAATATAGAATTTGTGTCTTGTGTCTGTGAGAGAGAAATTGTCTTCTGCAGAGCCCAGTCCTATGTCAGCCAAGGGAATCTGCTCCATTCCTCACGCTGCCTCCTCTTATTCTTCGTAAACCCTAGAAAGAAGGAAAGCCAAGAGAAAGATGTTTAAACAAGGAATGAAGCAACTCAATTCCAAATAATACACAAGGAAAAATAATTAAAAAACCACAAACAACAAGAAAAACAGAAACCAGATTATTAGCCTTTGCTGAAGTAAATTGAAAGTAAGTTTTTGACTTCAGCAGTCGCTGGATTGCTGTCCATAGAGGGATGGATTTTGCTGCTGCCATATCTTGCAGGTGTGCAGGGAGTGATGTGCTCTGCCATGATTATCAGGATACATAGGATGAAGACATCCACATCTGCTATTACACTTGAACCACTGGAAAATCCCTATTTTGTATATAAGTGTTGAAGTGTATTATGAGCTGCAGGTAGATAATGGATATTTATTATCTATTACTAGAATTTATGTTGTCTGGAATATTAGGCTCTGTTATTTTTTTCTAGTTTATGTCCTGAGAAAGCTACTTGACAGGCTTGTCTGCTGAAAAATCCTAGTTGGTCTTTGGGCAAAAGCACAGGGGAACCTCAGGGCAATGCTCTTTTGGGGAAGAGATTGTTGGGGCTGAGTATTCTTTTTAATCTTAATGATGATGGTATTAAAAAAAAAAACTTTTTGAAAGGGAGAGGGTGACAGAGCATCTTACCAGCAGGTTACTGTTTTTCTGGGAAAAATTGTTAAAATTGGTAAATAACTGTATCATCAAGTATTGAAGATTTTTTGAGGTGATGTGACAAGGCACTTTCTTCCCAGCCCTGCTGACTGCTTTCCTTGTGACTGTGTGGAAGTAATTTTGCTTTTCACCTTGGCTTTTTCACCCATTGAAGAGAGGTGAGTGTATGTAAATTATGGAGAACATCATCTGATGAATAGTTTAACAGAAAATAATTACTATTTATAGTTGGAACAGCCTAATCCTAAAATAAGAGGACTGCAAGTGGCAGGAAAGAAAAAACACAGGTTGAGAACATCCATTTATAACCGTAATTTTGGTGATGAAACACATCTTTTGTGCTGGATAAAGCATTTGCAGCGTGTGCATTTTCCTCTCTATGCCTGAACACTGCTGATTGCCCAAGCTGCCACCAAGGTTTACTCCCCTCTCCCACTGAGCAAATTCATACTTACCTGCCTTTCTCTTTCCATACTCGGTACCACTTCAGCAGCCTCACTGTGTTTTGGCGTTTGGGGTTTAAGCAGTGCTGCTGCTCCCCTCGCACCCGTGTCCACAGAGTCACGCTGCAAGGCAAGTGAGCACAGGTTATGGGAGCCCTGGGACATGCTGGTCCTCTCCTCTTACTCCACAAAAATGCCAAAACCGGGCAGTGGAAGGGTTTTCATACTCTACACTTCCCCCCTCCCCTTGTGTGGTTTTTTTTTGTTTTTTTGGTTGTTTTTTTTTTTAATGGTAGATATTTGAGTTTATTGTAATAATGTCGGAGCAGTTCTTCAGCTGCTATCAATCAGGGCAGGGCAGTATGGTCTGCTATTATACTAGGTTGTACCAGATGAAGACTCACATGCTGTCTTTAATCAGTGGGTTTCTCCTTCCTGTCTGTCAGATATTGTCTGTTGAGCTGAACAGCTGATTTAATTAGCAGCTCATTCAGGCAACCGCAAGGTCTTTGCATAAGGTTGTTTCCCTTACACTCAGTAATACTGCACCCAAGAGAAAACATCAGACCTGCTTAATTAATTTTTGTAAATTTTTATGTATTTTCTTTTTTAAATATTTAGTATTTTAATATATTAAATATTTGCACATGGCAGAGGACCTGTGTACCCAACAGACTAGCTCTGAGCCTCAGGATGCAGTTCTGGGAGCTTCAGCCTCCTCTGATCTCAGGCTGATCTCTCTCTCCTTGCCAGCACCCATGGCTTGAATGTCACCTTCCCACTGGGACAAAGTGTGCTGGAAGGAAAAATGTGGAAAAAGTTTCCTTCTGGAGCCCAACAAACCCACAATTTTTATTTGAGTTACTTTCTGGAAATACCATCTGTAACAGGGAAGCGTGGTTTCTGGTTTAACTGAAATATTGTAATGGAATTATTTCAATGCTGCTTGAGACGTGAGTGAAATGATGGCAGAAAACCAGAAATACCTGTGCATACCGATGGGTTTCTTCTATAGTTTGGTTTAGAACGAAGCTGTTTATCTTCAAGAAGAAGCGTGTTGCTAACTTTCCCAGCTCATGAGCTCAGCTGAGGGTCTCACTATGTTTCCCCTTTTGAAGTTATACAAGATGTTCAGATAGCTCTTCCCATTCAATTAACCTTCTCCTCTGCTCTACCTCCATGAGGTGTAAGCTCAAGTCACAAAAAGATGAGGTGTAATTTTCAGGCTGTTTTCTGGGAGGATGTAGCCCTTTCCCCAACGCGTGGGAAAAGTGGTGGAAGGTCTCCAAGAGCCTCTGTGGCTGCAGGCATCAGAAAGGGAAGGAGCAATGCTTGCTAAAATTTCCAGACTATCTGTGTTCTAAGGGTATTCTCAGGCAAGCCCTCTGGAGATTAGTGCATATGTGAGAATGGCAGTTTTCCTGTAGTTTTGAATGGGAGTGAAACCAAACCTTCACCGAAGGCACAAAACAAGTTTTGAGGGACTTGAGGTTGGTGCAAAGTTTCTCCAGAAAGCAGGCACCTTCTTGACTGTGCTGTCTGCACTGATTGATGCCAGACCCTGGATTAGGTTTCTTTTCTAACAGACCACAAGGGATGTTTCCAGAAAGGGATGGACAAGTTGAATTGCAGGAGCACCTCCAAAAAGCAGCAAGTCCTATATTGGCACCAGAAGTAGAGAAGGACAACTCTGGATTTACTAGATCCTGCGGTCTGAGGAGGAGATGCGTGATTTGCTTCTCAGGTGAACTGGGTCTTTTCTCAGGCTGAGATGTGTTGCTTTGACATCACATGTAGGTTTTCTGCTCTGATGCTGGAGACTGGACAGCAGAGAAAATATTCTGAAGACAGCGCTGTGGTCCTCTGCAGTTTCTGTGCAGTTCCTGATGCTGTGGGCACAGGGTTGGGCCACAGTGTTTTTGGGCACCCTGAGCTGACCTGGCCCTGCTTTTGGAGATGCTGGCTCAGCAGATGTAAGGGAATGTGCCTATGAAGAGGTGCTGTGGGAGCTGACACCCTGTTAGGAGTTTTCTGGGTGGGCTGCAAGAAGAGGCTGAGAGGGATGGAGAAGGCACTGAAGCACCAAAACTTAGACCTCCAGGGAGATCTCTTTGGTGGGATATGGGTCACGAGCTCACTCCAGGGATGTGTGCTGACCTGTCCCTTAGCTGCCTGCATTAGGGCTTGGTGCCTGGAGCCTTCACCCACTGTGTCTGAGGGTCCATATGCCAAAATCCTCCCCAGTATGCCCCTGCCTCCAGGGCTGGGTCAGTCTGTGACCCCAGAACCTCATGTCCCGTCCCCCCCCTCCATGTCTTGTCTGCAGAGATGGTGGGGCTGCATCTCTGCCTACAAGCACCCTCTCCCCAGGGCCATAAGGGTCTTAGCTCTGGTTGTTTTATTCCAAGCTGGTTTGGGGGCTGCCACCCACCTCGGCTGTGTCTTGAGAAAGGTTCCAGCAGCTCTGGTTTCCCATCAGCTGTTCTAACCTCAATTCATCCCCGCTATTTGGGAGGAGGCAATACATGGAGAGGGGTTGGATCCTTTCATACAGAAAGAGTTAAATCTCCCTCCTTTTTTCTGCTGCTTTTTCTCATTCTGGGAGACAGATACACACACAATTACTGCTAGATGTACTGTGAATCCTGATAGGTTTTGACTAGACTGAGGACTCAGCTTAGCTGTACCAGAGCTCTGCCAGAGGGGTTATGGCTAAAGGCAAATTCCTCCGTAAACTGCACCCCTGTACCTACTTCTTCTCTATCAGACAGAATTCATATCATGTTTCTGATACGTGAAAAGATACAGGAGTTTTTGAGGAGGGCAGGAGGGGAACCCAGCTTTCACAACTCATTTTAGATGATCACTGCAGCAACAAAAACTCAGTTGCAGGAATTCAGTGATTCTGTGCCTTGCCCAGAGACTCCCAGATCAATCGGTACTCAGAATATTAATTTTGGTTTGCTTTCAGCGCTGACTTGAGGCTGTACCAGGGTAGCTGGCAAGGCAGCAGCGATGGGGCAGCTCTGTGCAAGCAGCTGCTGCAAACCCAGGGCAACCCTCTGGGCTTGCATTTCTCGGCATCTGTGCAGCTGTCCAGCTGGGAAAGCAATCGCTCCGGCACAGCATTCCAGCTTTTCTGACTTTCTTGTTGAAAGTGAAATGTTGCCTTAAGAAGATTTATTTTATAACCCCTGCCCCAACTACCAGCTGCTTTTGGGCAAATGCTTGGAGTGGGATGCAAGGAGTTAGTGCTCTGTGCCATCATTTTGCTATTGGAAGGTCAAAGCAAACAAAGTAAAGCTGCAAGGGGCCAATTCAGGCAATGATGCTCTGCAAGCATTTTCTGTTTAGGTCTCCATCAGCTGATTTGGGCTTCAGAGATCTGGGTCTGATGTTTCCTGAGCTAAGGATTGCTCGTAGTGATGCTGGTGTAAAACTGGAGGAAGCCTGAGGAAGCTTGGCTCTCTATTCCTCCTCCACACACCTTTTGCAGAGTCTAGCGCACCATTTCTGTGGGGGCAGGATCAGGCTCCTGTGGCATCTCCTTCTTTGTGCCAGTCAGACAGGCAGGATTTGGCCCCATGGGCATTACAGAGTGCTGGAGGTGGTACGTGTCTTGGCAGGGCACGACTTGGATCCTGCTGTTAAAGCACCTTTCTAAGATTAAGTAAAAGGCAAATGTACAGCAAGGGAGAACAAACACTGGAGTAAATCAGTCCTTGGTATTCTGGGAGTCTGGCTGCCCTTGGGGATCCTTTTCCCTCACACTCAGAGCGGCAGAGGGCCTTGGTGCAGTCTTCTTAGCTAAGCTGGTTCTTATCCAGCCTCACGTGCTGGTTGCATGGTGCTTTGTTGAGGGTATCTTGAGATATCCAAACCAGAACAGGAAAAAAACCAGGATGAAATAAAACCCAGAAAGCACCCATACTTAAAAAGATCCACCTCCTTTTGAGCCAGTTATCAAAGATGTCAAAAATCCCTGTACCTGTCTCAGTTTGAGTCACTGCATCACTCTGAGATTTCACAGCAGCGTTGGTCATGGCTTGCAGCGAGACAGAGAGGAAAGTGCTTTCTTATGTATAGGTAATCCCACTGAATGCAAGGGGATGGCTCTGGTACAACGCAGGCAAAAAATCTGACTCTGCTTGGGATAACTCTTCCATTCAGAAATTGCCTTCTGTCCAACTCTGCTGGTGTTCTTATTCTGCATGCTCAGAATAACTTGAGTAAATAGTCAGCTTCAAGTAGGATTTGTCCCTGTCTTTCATTTGAACTAATTAATTGCTGCCTGCTCTGTAAATATTTCTTTTGAGTAAAAAATGATTGTTTGAAAAGTGATAGCTGGGGTTTTGGTCAGAATTGTACATCTTATTGCATCTGATAGAGTGAATGACTATTCCCAGAAATTAGCATTCTAAGGCATGAGGAAAACAAAGAACGGAGAAGGAACTTGCAGTACAAGGTAAAGCAATCCAGCTGACAGGGAAACAGAAAGCAAGAAATGAAGGAAAACTTACATAATCATCTCTTCCACACAAAACGGGTACCTCGGTTTTATTTCCAGCTTCCGTACATTAGAGAATCTTATTTTAGGACCTTTTCTTGAACATTTGCACTTTGCACCTACAAGAGAGAGCATTTTCTCAGTGTGCCTGCAAAGCTTCCTTGCATACCAAGTGTCCCTTCCCTGCCAGCCTATGTGCACAAACAAACTTCACTTTGGTGTTTCGAGCCTTGGTGGGAAAAATTGAATTTTGTAATGCTGTCGAGCTTAAGAATGATTTTATCTATTTATTTACTTTAGCTCCATCCCTGGAAAAGGTAATCGCTTTCTGAGAAATACGTTTTAGAGCACTATATACGTTCTGAGGCTTAGTAAATATGATAGCTATTTAAAGTGCACCTGCTGCAATTTAAACGTAATTGTATTTAACAAAAGGAAATGAAAGAGTTGGAACTCACTTCAAACCGAATAAGCAAGCGCACATCTTGACTACTTTCTCATTCACTCCGGTCCCTCTTGGACTTTGTAGGACTTTCAGTCATTTTTCCTCACACGGATGCTGTGGTGCGTTTGCAGCCAGGCATAAAACCGAGAGTTTTTAAACCATCGTTTCTGTTAACGGCAGAAAACGCACCCTGGCACGCTCGGTGGAATTTGTGCCGCCACATCAAATCCAGCTCTGCTCTTATTTTCCTCTGTGGAAAAACCACCCTCGGTTTCAAAGCGGATTTTTGAGCTATATTCCTGAATAACGGAGGACACGACATGACCTCGCACACTGCGAGTTGGGGCTATCTGCCTCGCAATGAAGTATTTTATCTCTACTTCCACCTTTTTTTTTTAAAAAAAAAAAAGAGAGAACCCCACACCTCACAGCTACTCTACCTCACCGCTAAATACATCGCGTTTCCCAAGGTGCAGAAAACGGCTAAATCCAACTCGGGGCAAGCAAGAGACAGATAAAAAACTAGTGGCAAAGCATCCCCCTGCAAAAAGAACCAGCAGAATAAACGCACTTACCTTCCGCGCTGGCTAAGCACATGGCGATGAAGAGCAGAAGCAAAGCTGCCGTCAGGAGCTTCATGGTGAGGGGGCAGCAGGTACCTAAGGAGACGCCGGAGATTTTTTTTTTTTAAATATTTTTTTTTT